GAGGACCACCTGCACCTGATTTTGCCAAAGTTCTTGTGAAATTTCAGATTCCCAGATGCGGTCCCTTGGATCATAATCTTGTGAGGATGCAGCTCAGGAAGTTGTATTTTAAACAAACCCAAGTAATTTTTATGACGGTCAAACTGTGATAACGACTGGACTTGAAGAGCTATGTCCCAGGACTCTGATTTGATTTGGAAGGAACTTGGGGAGGAGGGGAGGAAAGGGAGGTGGGAGAGAAACTGGATTGGTTGTTAAGAGAAGTCAGATCCCACAAGGTCTTGCCACGCTAAGGGCTTTGGGCTTTATAGGATCAGCCATAGGGAGCCAGTGAAAAGTTTTGAGGGAGGAAGGGGGCGGGGTAGCATAGTGTAATTTTAAAAGATGATTCCTATAGCAGGGTGGAGGATGAATAGAGATGGGTTGAGGGCAATGTGAGGGAGTTGAGGCTGGGGGCAGAGAGACTAGCCCAGGTGACATGTAATGAGGACCTGACCCAACTCAGTGGCAAGGCAGACAGAGAAGGGGGAGATGGGAAGTCTGGTTGGGAGGTAGAATCAACAGTGCTTGGTGAGAAAAATCAAGGCTGAACTTGCAGGTCTTGTCCTCTGGGCTTGTCCCTGCCCCATGGGAGGGTCAAGTTCTTAGTCCCAGTCATTCTTTGTCTGCCCTGACCCACCATAGTCTGCAAGGTCATCCCAGGTCCTGTCCTAAGATATGCCAATTATTGGAAGAAAAACATAAAGCATACTTTTTGTGTACTTTCATTTTCATTGCCCTAAGTGTTAGACACCTTATCTAATTAGGTTTGATAAATTAATTACCCTTAATATTTTGTTATTACAAAAACCTAAACACTATGTGTTATTCCCCTGGGCGCTCTTAGTTTTGCAGCCCTTTCAAAGATTCATGTGTAAACCACTCTCTCAGGTTACCAAACAGCCTCAGGGCAGCAACTCCAAGAAAATGCAAGGGCAGAGCTGACCAGCTGGACCTTTTTGGATGTGCCCGAACTTTCACGCTGTGAGAAGAATGCTGCACACCCACTTTTCACGGGTTGCTCCAGATGGCAGTGAAAACCACACGTTTTACAAGTGAGTGATGCGTGGTCACGCAGAGGAGTTACTCAACTCATGTCCACTTGGCTGAGAGTTTTGAGGTAAATCCTTTCAAGATTACATAGGTCAACCGGGATTTCAAAAGTAAATTATTTAGGGCTACACAGAGTGAAATATGGCTATTACTGATTAATCCTGATGAACGCTCACAATACAGCAATGAAGTAATTATTACAGAACTTTATGCTTGATAAAATTAATTATTTATATGTAGGAGAGATATAAAACTGCATTAACAATTGAAATAAATTATACATGTGATAAGAAGATTCAAATAACTGCTTACGATTTACAAAGCACCTTCTCATTTATTACCTCATTTGATCCTCACAAAAATTCCTTAAGATAAATCGTCTTATAGTTCCATTTTATAGATGAGGAAACTGAAGGTCAGAAAGATTCAGTGACTGGCCCAAGGCCACACAGTCAATAAGACAATATTTCTGTGTCTCATCTAGCATGTTTTTGGTTGCAAGTAACATAAAATCCAAATCAAAATGTACTAAACGGTAAATAGAATAGAGAAACTCTGGAACAGAAAAAGTTCAGTGGTGCGGTGGGCTTCAGGCAGTTTGATCAGAAATCCAGCTGTTTTATTTTGATTGTGTTAGATTTACCCTTCTTTTTGTGTCAGCTCTATTCTGAGTCTCTTTTTCCATTTAGTAGCAAAATGCTGGAGCAGTTTCAGGGCCCACCACACTATCTAGAAGGAGAAAGAGCTTTTCTTTCTCCAATCATCAAACATGAGACCCCGGTTTCATTTTGTTGCACCAGTGGCCAGGGGAATACCAGGTACTGATTGGCTGAGGCCTGGGGTACATGATCCAGTGACCATGTCAACCAAGACCACAACCCAGAAGCTAGAGGCTGGATCAGTCCCCTCCAAACCCCACAGCTGCTATGCCATGTGGGAGGGGTGGAATGGAGGCTGCAGAGTCAACCGCAGTATCCACCACAAGCCAGGAATTGAATTCTATGGGACTTGAACGACGTAGGACTCCAAATCTTATGGGGGTTGAGAGGGGGGTTGTTTGTTTTTTCTCTATAACTGACATATTGTTATCCTTCACTTCTGGAGCTGACAACTCTAAGTTGTCATAAATGTGTGCATAAATGTGCCTAAAAAGGCCCGTACGTGACCGGAAGTCCTTTCCAGCTGGTGTGCACCAAGCCCAGACTTTGCTTTGTGTGTACTGCCATGATCTATCGTCTTTTGCTTCTTCAGTTACTTCTCCAGCTCAAGTTCCTCTAAATTCTTTTGCCCCGTTCATTTTTGTTTCAAATACATTTTTGTTTCTTTGTGTCAGGGCCCAACCAGGAAGACCGAAACCACTCTGAATATTTAAAACAGAGGAAGTTTAGTGCAATGAGATGAAAGAAACTTAAAAGCCAAACAAGGGATGGTGAGGCAATCCAGAGTCTAGCCACAGCAGGAAGTCGCCACCACTCCCAGGCTGGAGGGACAAAGGGAGGAGGTGATGCTACCCGAGCCCTGGGCCTGGGATTACCCAGAGGAAGCAGGAACTATGGCAGGTTTCCTGTGAGAGATGGAACCAAGGAAGAGAGGCAGCAGCTGCCAGAGATACCACCCAGGACTGAGAGAGAGGGAGAAATACCCTAACTTCAACCTCCCTCCTGTTCTCCAAACTCCCACCAGAGCCTCCATGGGCCAAACCCAGTTGGCAGCCGGCTGACATGGGGTCTGAGAACATTGGCCTGGAGGGGTCAGGCCCCCTGAATACACAGCCAGGGAAGGAAGAGTGAGGAATGGACCTCAGGTCAAGCAGACCCAGAACCAGCACATTTATATGACAGTGTCATGCATGTTCATGGTGGAAATTTTATTTTATTTGTTTCTGTTTTTTTAATTTTTGGCTGTGTTGCGTCTTCGTTGCGGTGCACAGGCTTCTCACTGCAGTGGCTTCTCTTGTTGTGGAGCATGGGCTCTAGGCGTGTGGGCTTCAGTAGTTGTGGCACATGGGCTCAATAGTTGTGGCTTGTGGGCTCTAGAGCGCAGGCTCAGTAGTTGTGGCTCGCAGGCTTAGTTGCTCCGCGGCATGTGGGATCTTCCCGGACCAGGGCTCGGACCCGTGTCCCCTGCATTGGCAGACAGATTCTCAACCACTGTGCCACCAGGGAAGCTCACAGGCGGATTCTTAACCACTGCACCACCAGGGAAGTCCCAGGTGGTGGAAATTTTAGAAAATACAGATATGCAAAGAGGAAAAGGTAAAAATCACAATCCTATTAGGGAACTGCTGAGTGCTACCTATTTCTCATTAGTCACTGGGGAATCCATGTTCTGGTCCTTTCCCTGTAAATAGGCCAAGCACTCTAGCAGTTTGACATTTTCTAATATACACCCTGAGAAATTCAATTTCTCCTCTTTATCAAGTTAAAAGTGAAAAAGTAAGAAAAAACTTTATTTCTTCTAAGAAACTGACTTGCTTCTTTTCCCAGATAATGTGAGCTATATGATTTATCAGGTTTTCTCTTTTTGTCCAGGCTACCGTGAGACTCAAGGGCACATCTCATACTCAAGACCAGCAACTTTTAAACTTTATGGTGGGTATGTGCTTCTTCCTTCTTCTCCATGTTCTAAAGTGTATTGCATCATATCAGCTCTATGACATATGTGTATGCATGAAGCCAGCAGGGACAAATATAGGCACCTAAGGGAGAGGTCCCGGAGTTATTTCCCCAGAGGGTCGCCGGGGCATCACTTACCCTGCCCAACTTCGTCCACTCTGAGCCAGCTGGCCAGCGCTGGGGAGTCATCTGCCACTGTGGAACAGATTCTATCACCCTCCTCAACAGCAGATGGCTGCTCTGCACTAATCCATGTCATACATCATTGCTGGGGGAGACACCACCATCGCTGTACAAATCAGTAGCATCTTCGCTCCAATTCACTAGGCTTGGGATTACGCGTGTGTGCTCAAATAGTCTCTGGTTTAATAATTTTTCAGCTAAGCGGCCCTATTAGCATCTTAACAATGGAAAGGGGTGGAGTGAAGGGCCACCGGGGAGATTATGGTTAGATTTTTAATTAGATTGGGCATTTTAATTAGGTTGGGCACAGCTTTTTCAAGGAGGTGAAAGCATTGTCTCCTCAAGCGAGCACCTCTCTGGCCTGTTTTAGCTTCCTTGATTCACAAGTTAGCCCCTCTTGAAATGCTTCTCTTATATTTTGTTTATCTGAGGCTGATGGTCTGGGCATCGGGCCCAGTTTAATATAATTTTTACTGTTGCTACCACATCCCCAGTTCTATCGAGAGAGTTATTATCATGTTGTCTAAGACACCTTACCATGGCAATTACCAGGTCGGGTGCACACCCATGCTACTTTCTACCTCAGCCCTCCCCAGTGCTTTCTACTTCAAATTTTAGAAGTGAAGGTGATTGTCACTTCCATTCCATCGAGACAATGAGAGTTTGGGACTTGATAGCATAGCAAAGTAGATATTTGGCAATTATCTAGATCATTTGATTGAGATAGGCAAATAGTTGACATAATTGAGGTCCTGGAATATATCTGTGTGTCTAAAGAACATTGAAAATCCCCCAGTTGCTTATAATTGATTGTAAGTTATATAAACACATAGGCTGCTTTTACAACAAATTTGCTTTCCTAATTACGTTTTACATAATCTAATGCATTCATATTAGTTTGAATTCTCTAAGCATGTACCAGCCCAAAGGTATGTTGCCTGGTAGGCAGGAGAGGAAAACTGACCACAGATGACCATCTGTGTAGAGTTGAAAGCTGGCAATAATAATAAAGCTGCAGCACTGACAAAAGAAGATAAACATTGCAGCATTTGATTTGGAAAATGGTGTGTGTGTGTGTGTGTGTGTGTGTGTGTGTGTGTGTGTGTGAAGTTCCATTCTTGGTTTCAGTGCAGAGTTGGGTCAGACCCTTAGGATGACTTTAGAACACAGGCATTGAAGGTGAGTGATTGTAATAATAACCCACTTGACAGGCGTGGACATTAGCCAATAGACATGCACATCTCTGGCTTCACACCAAGGCCTAAGGTGGAACCTGAGCCTGGGCTTGTCCAGGAGGTTCACACCTCCCGCAGACAGAGTCCTGCTGTAGAATTGTATCGCATTAACAATGCGACTTCCTGGAAAAACAAATAAAATGCTTTAAATGTTTAAATGCATTTTCAAGTATTCATCCTCCAAATATTTAGACTCTGAGCCGACTGGGCCAAGAGCCCAAGCTTCCCGTGCATGCTCGATTGTTCCAACCCTCTCCCCAGGATCAGCAAACATATAACAACTTAAAATATTATCCTCTTGGAGCCGAAAAATAATTCCCCAGCTATTGTTCCAGGAAATCAGCTAGGTATCTCTGTCCAAAGTCCTCCTTCGTAATGTCTGCAAGAGTTTATTACTTTTTAGTAAGTTTAAGAAATTCTTAAAAAAGCCTCCCTGACGCTGTGGTCTGTGTCCACAGTGAAGCTGCAGCATAAGAAAGAATGGGAATGGAGAATTGGGAGTGGAGATGGGTAGGAAGAAAGGGAAGAAAGAGGGAGAGAGATGCAGGAAAAGCAACAAACAGCCTATTGAGGATAGAAGGCTTGGATGTCTCAATCAAGTCTTAAAAGAGGGACTCTGAGTAAACCAGGGATTTTGTTTTTGTTTTTTCAGAGACGGGAAAAGAGGGCAAGAGTGTCAGAGGCTGATTGCCTTTTGCATTTAAAATTTCTCTAAATTCAGTCATCATATAATATATTCTCCTTTTCCCAGGCATATCTATACCAAAACTTCCTCTTTTTTAAGCCTCCACAGCAAAATAATAATAATTCATATCACTGCCAATAAAATATCTAATTATAGATTATCTAATTATAGAGTTTAGACCTCTCATCTTTATCTAAGAAGTTCCACAAGATAAAATAAATACCTTTAATGTAGATTTTGATTCTAGATACTGGGTCAGTATTTAGTTCAGCTTTCCCAATGTACTAGGTAGAACAGTGGAGTGAAATCTAACATACATTAAACTTTTGTAAGTTGGATTATATATGAGAGAGAGAGAGAGGGAATAGGTATTGGTCTTAAAAAGCATGTGCCACAGAGTGAACATAAGACAGGACCAACAAATCTGTTCTGCCCTAGGTTTGTCTCCATGCCTACGGACCTTCCCTGTGTAGTCTTCTGCTTAAAATACACATTTTTCATATTCATGACCTCAAAATGTAAGCTAACTGCTTCACTGGTACTCAAACAAGAAAACAGCTGTCTGCTCCAATGATGGAGGGAAAACTGGCTGAGAAATAGTCCACCAGGCTTTGGCATGGTACCTCCCTAAGAAAACTTCAAGGGAAGTTTTGATTATCTGTGATTTTCTTCTTGTGGCTGACTTCAGAACCTGACCGTCCCAGCAGACACATCTCTGCTGAATGATTCCCCCCTTGGCAAAGAGAAAATTTAAAAAGAAGTGGGGTCATTCTTCTGATGTCTCTGTTCCAGAACTAGAAACTTTGCTTTCTCCATCTCTGTGCCCAACTGCAAAGCACACGACGATCTCTTTTGACTTTATTTGGGGGTACAAAAATGGTCCACGAGCGAAAGGTATGGGGGACAGAGTCATTCAGGAATTCATTCTTTCCTTCATCAAATATTTGCAGAGTACCAGCAATGTATCAGGCTCAAGATTCCACAATGAGCTACTGCTGAATCAGAAAGGGAATCAAAAGACCCAATCGCGACTTGGTTACACTCAACTTGTGAAGTTGGAGGAACTGCTGATCCTTCCGGGTCTCAACTGTCTATCTGACTAAAAAAAAGTGAAAAAAGTTGTGGAAAATAAGTTCTAAAATCCCTCTCAGTAATAAAATTCTGCGAAATCAACGTAGAAATATTTTCTAAAACCTTAAAAGGACTAGAACAAACTTCCTCATAGCAACTCTATCTACTCCTGACAAGCACCGTGCCCTAAGCAGCTCTTTACCTTCATCTCTGCTCTTCCAGGTTACGGTCAGTTTCCTCTCCTCGCTCCCTCCACTGTTGTACAATGTAACACTGTACGAAACAATATAGCCATCCACTCCTCCTTCTTCTCCTCTCCGACTCCACAGCTTCGAAGTAGACATGTGGACAAAATGAAGAGATTTCTTCCGAAATGTTCTCTGTCATAGATGCTGTTGTTCAGGCCCTGTCAGGGTGATTCAGGCTTCACTGCTTTGATTAAAAGTAAAGATAGCTACACTGTGGACGAAAGGTATGGAAATAGATCTCTTGTAAGATTAATCACACTTTCAGATTGAGCAAATGCTTCATTTGTAACGTGGCTTTTGTGTCGTATCATCACGCATACAGACCTGTTCACGCTTGGTTGTTGAATCTCCATAGTAATGGCTTGAGCATCAGTTGTCTTTATTCAATCTTATCTAAAAAAAATAAATAAATAAAACACTTGGTTACACGAAGGGAAAAAAAATCCTATAAAATGCTTGAATGTTTGTGCTATTATATCAGAGAATGTTTACCAATATTCCTTTAGGCAATACCTCCTTGTTAGTTGTGCTATTCAGTTAATAAGTATATATCTGAAGAAGACATATTCAATCAGTAGTTGTGCTTAATTCACTCCCGAGCATTAAGGAGAAGACTAAAAGTGTAAAATTTCCAGAAGTTAAGGGCAATAGAGTGGAAAGTCAGAATGCTTGAATCTGAATCCCACTTTTATAGCTTACTAAATATTTGATCCCAGGGAAGGTACTCGGTTATTCTGGACTTTATATTCCCTGCAAGGACATTAATAACTCCTACGCTGTCTTCCTCGCAAAAATTTTGTGAAGATAAACTGGTCTGTAAGAAGAGGAAGAAAGTATTATACTTATATAATGCTTACTTGCCAAGCACTTCACATATTCACTCATTTAATCCTTACAATAATCCCATTTTACAAGAAATCACATCACTTATAAAAGGTGGAGCAGGCACTCAAACCGAGGCAGAATCCATGCATTTACCTCCATATGATAATCAGTTATACAAAGGGCGCTACTAAAATGTTTCAATGCATTAAATGGGGGGAAGAACTTTTGTTCACCTTCTCCCACTTTTAATGGAAATGTGGTGAGGGGAAGACCAATGTCTGCAATATTTTTAGTGCATGTAATTAAAATGATTTTCCTAGGTTAATAGCATTAAAATTTCACATTTTGTGGTTTTCTCACAAAGTTATAATGCTTTGGACTTATTAGACTTAAAAATATCATGTATTTATGCAACAATTCTACATTTTCCTCTTGAATTTGCATTCCAACAAATTAAAATGATTTTTCAATATCCCGGCAATACAGAGCGCTGAACTCAAGGGAATCTAGCATCTCATGCTTTCTGCCTGCCTCTATAAAGCAGGCAAAAACTTGAAAACCAGAGGCACCAGCAAACTTCCAGCCAACAAAGGCAGTCATTATATTTTCTGCACTTAGGAGCTTTTACTCTGCCAGGCAGATACAGAGAGTACTGATCCCCTTCCAAGTCCCAAACCTCTTCACTTCCTCTTTCTCCTTCTCTCTGTCTAGGGCCTTTTGAGCGAGATGGCCAATAAGCCCCTTGTTTCCCATCTCTGCAGGAACAAGTGGGTGCTACTCTCAGTGTCCACCAAACCATAAGTCCTTTGAGGATACAGGAAGACATCCACCAATCTCAAGATCAAACTGTGACAAAAGGAAATCTGCAAGCAAAGGAGAGGCTGCCCACCACCCCGTTCTCTTATAAAAATGGCAGAATCTCTGGGGAGAGCAAGCAGTTTACTTCTGCGTGGTATATATACTTACCAAAGGTTCAAGAATACTTAATTTTACTTTTAAAAATGCTCTAATTGTATAATAAACTACACTATTAGGAACTGGGTATTTTGATACATATTCTCTCTGAAGTTCATAGTAATCCTTCTATTCACATTAGTAGGAGCCAGCGATAGGATTTGAACTCATGTCCAGCAGACTCCAAGGCTCCTGCCCTTTCCTTAACAACAGACTGTCCCTAATGGATTCCAGGGATCACGGAGTAGTCATTTATGATCATATTTTCTTAATTAGTTTATTCTACATTCTAAAATATGTGTAATTCTACATTTCCAGGCAAACAACACAAAAAAGATCTAGAGAACAGGAGAGAAATTTTTTTCTTAATTTTTCAGGCTTTAATCATGGAAAGCAACACATCCACTCCAAACACACTCTCCCCCTTTGATTTTGTGACTCCTGTAATGTTTCCCTGGCCCCAACTGGTAGGAAGGGGCAATTGGGTAAACCCAGAGAGGGCTGTCAATAGATAAAAAATCAACTGGAAAGATCAGTTTGAAAATAAAATGGTTGAAGATGGCATTGACCACTGGAAAATCAGAGTAGCCGTCTCTTTTTAACGTCTCAGCATGCTGTCCTTCAGCCTATAATTTGCCCGCATTGTCCAACAAAGTAGGAACACCCCAGGGAACAGGACCTTATCACCTCTCTTGCCAACCTCTCTTGCCTTGTCCCTACTCCCAAGGACAAGCCAGCGGAGTTCAATCCCAAAGATAAGAGTTTAGTCCTGCTACCTCTGAACTGACCCTGGGCCAACACAACAACCCTGGCATCTGTCGCTTCCCTCCACATGGCTGTTTCCATGAAGAAAACATTCCTCATCATGCAGTAGGAACTGGGTCATCACAATTAATAACCCACCAGTTAAAAGAATGGGCTCTGCATTCTCTTCCAAGTGTGAGGGTATCCTGTGATACAGGGTAAAGTGTCCACAGCAATATTCTTCCTCGACAGGGAGGTGGTGGGGTGAGGTGCTCGATCCCCAAGAAAGTCCATCAGGAAAAGAAGGCCAGCTTAAGAGTGTTTCATGTTGCCCAACAAGTCTAACTTAAATCAGGAGTAGTTAATACTTGTAGGTATAATATCTATCATTAGTTATTCAGGAAAGCAACATGGGAAGTCACTACCAGGTCAGATGGCCCAAAGCATGCAAGTCAATTAAGCAGCAGAATGAAGGTGACAGGAGGCAAGAGTGTTGCCCAAAGAAGTTGACATGCCCAGCGTGTCTGGATACGAAACAAGCCTCCTGATAGCTGAACGTGTTTTGAAATACTTGTAAACTACTTGGTTAAACATCTCCCATTCTTGTGATAAACGGAAATTACCAAGGAAAAATATACTAAACCACTCAGCCAAAATAAAACTTGATGAAGAATGGTAGCATCCCCAATACTGAATGCCCTTGGAGCTCTTTGATCTGTGCTTTTCTAAATTTGGCTCAAGGCCCCATTAAAACCAAGGATTTCATGTTTGGGCCAATAAATAGAGCCAATAAAAGTCACTCTTGGACCAGGAATGGGTGGAACCTAGGTCATTAATGGTGTTTGGTGATTGTGAATGCTGACAGTAGTACTGCTAAGTATATACAGCTCCCTTTACACCCTAGATGAGAAGGGCCAGTCGCACCTAAGAGAGAAAACAAGAGCAAAACCTACCCCGAGCCCCAGCATTGAAATTTTATTTGACAAATATGCATTGAGCATCTAGTAGGTGCCAGACAGAGCTTAAGCAGGACACATCCACAGATGAATAAGAAGTAGACCCAGCCCATGAGACTCCAGACTAGAAGGAAGTCAGTTATGTGCCCCCAGCCATGATACAGGTCAGACTGTGATGAGGGCTAAGCAGAAGAAAGAGTAATTAACTCTACGTGGAAAGATTCTAGAAGACTTTACAGAGGAAGTGCTATTTAGCTGAACCATAAGGAATGAGTGAAAAAACCAACAGCCAGAAAAGGGTGGTATTCTGAGCAGAGGATACAAGCTAAGTAAGTCGCAGAAGAGCTGAGGGGCAGAGGCAGCTGGGGAGAGAGTGCTAGAATTCTGACATGGAAGGAATTCAAGGCCTGAGGCTGGAAAGGTAACTCAGGACAGACTGCAAATGGTCTGTGATGACTTGTGACACATGCACTTGACCTTATTTTGTAGGCAGGGAATTGTAAGCATCTTATATATTTGTATTTAATTTTTAATTTTTATATTTGAAATATTTATATTGTCAAGTGATTCTTAGGAGGAACTTGAATGCATAGAACAAAGAGACGTGATGTTTTATTAGTGAAATTTTTTTTTTTTCCACACCGCGAGGCTTGTGGGATCTTAGTTCCCTGACCAGGATTTCAACCCGCGCCTTCGGCAGTGAAGGTGCAGAGTCCTACCCACTGGACCGCCAGAGAATTTCCTACATTTGCTTATTCTTATATCAACTAATGAGAAAAAATATAATCGTTTGCACATCAATCAAGATTTTTTTTTCTAGTGTAAGTGACAGATAACCCCATCCAAACTAACTCAGGGAAGAAAAAAGAAGTGAGGGAGGAGAAAGATTTATTGACTAAATCCAGAAGTGCTTCTGGGATTCCAGAATCAGTTGACTGAGGGGCTGAAGGAATACCATCAAAGCTGTCTGTCCATTTCTCATCTCCGTGTCCCTCTCCATGGAGGGGCACGGAGAATGGTGGCTGCTCCATTCTCAAGATGAGCTTCCTCCCTGTGGCAGTCCCTGGCAGATCCAGGCTTATAACCATATTCACAAGTTCCAATCTCCTTCCTAACAGGACCCAACACAATCTCAGAACTAAGCCTCAGTGGCCTGGCCTGACTCACATGCCCATCCCTGGCCCTGTCACTACGCCATGGACCATGGTACACACTGAATGGTCACAGTGGGTCCTGTGTCCCCCCAGAGTCTCCATGGACTCAGAGGGGAGACAGATGGTCTCAGAGGAAAACTGAGGTGCCATTACCTGGAGAAGAAGGAAAGAAGCTGGGCAGGTTAAAATAACACAGTCTACTCTAATTTGCAAATAATATGCAAACATTTTAAAGTTGGGTTAAGGAATGACAATTGCAGGCTTATATCAGCCTTAACATCTAGTTTGCTTCTGTATTTTATTTTATTTGCATGGTATTGAGAAAATCCTGATTCACATAGGTGAGCAGTTCCAAATAGTAACTTTTTCAAACAGTGTACCTGGAACACTTAGGATACTCTTTAATTAAATTTTTGCCGAAGTTTAAAAGCAGGCTGTAAGTTTGAGTAATACGCAATTCCATTTCAAAGTTTACTTACCTAAACTGTGAAGAGGCTCCTCTGCTAATTTAAGTGTTCGCTGGGAAGAGGTTTTTCAGATATATCTGCAGCATGTGATGAGAAATTCAACAATATCATTTTCATTTATTTTTTATTTATTTTTATTGAAGTATAGTTGTATAATATTATACAAGTTACAGGTGTACAACATAGTGATTCATAACTTTTAAAGGTTATACTCCATTTATAGTTATTATAAAATATTGGCTATATTCCCTGTGTGGTTCATTATATCCATGTAGATTATTTTATACCCAAT